TATTCTCATCTATATGCTTTTATCTGAGGATGTCACTTATGCTAGCAATGTATTTGGAACTCATATTAATAAAATCCTTCGAAAGCAATGTTGTTTTCACTAATCGGTTTTGAAATCCAAACTTGTATTATTATTTACGAACCTATTTGTAATATTATTTCCGCTGCAACTCTGTGTATGTGATGTGTATTTGCTTAATCACGCGATCTTGGTTGTGATGTTGATTTACCGAGGTCCTGCGTGACACTCGGCGGACTACCGGGTTTATATAAGTGAGAGTATGCGTGTGTCAACGTGTTAAGCGGGGACAGCCGTACTTGATCTTGTATAAATTGGGCGGTTCTGTCACACGCGCCAAGAAAGCGCGCTGCGAGCTCGGGCGCCGTCGACGAGCTGGAGGCGAGGCGGACGCGGTCGCCGCGCTCCTCAGAGGCGTCGCCGGGCTTGTCCCCACCTGCTCCGGGCGCGGCGGGGCAGGCCAGGCGGTCGAAGGAGCAGGCTCGCACCCGCGTGACCCACAACGGAGGGATGCCCCGCCTGCTGCTCCGGTCGGCGCGCCCCGAGCCGGAGGTCGCGGCGATTCGCGGGCTGATCGGGAGCTGGCCGGATCGACTCCCTCCCCGGTCGAGGTGAGGGGGCGTCAGTCGCAACCCGCGAGTGGTCCCCGTCCGGCTGGCCCGTTGCCATCATGGAGGCACTGGGGTCGGAGCCCCCGATCGCCGGTTTGGCGTCGTGGTCGGAACCCCCGAGCGTCGGGTTGGCGTCGGGGTGTGTCTGGATCGGACCTTCCAGGATGCGGGCGGACGGCTCGTGGAGGTCGTTGATGAAGACCCTGCTCGGAGACGGATCCTGCCTGCCGGCCAATTTTGCGAGAAAATCGGCGGCATCGTTGTCCTTTCGGGGGATGTGATGCAATTCGATCCCCTGGAATTTGTCCTCGAGCTTGCGCACCTCTTGGCAGTATGCTGCCATGAGGGGGCTTTTGCAGGAGGACTCCTTCATGACCTGGTCGACGACTAGCTCTGAGTCGCCGCGAACGTAGAGTCGCGTGGCGCTGAGCTTGATGGCGATGCGCAGTCCGTTGATGAGGGCCTCGTATTCTACGGCGTTGTTTGAGGCCGAGAAATGGAGACGGATAGCGTAGCGGAGCCTACTCCCGTCCGGGGAGATCAGAACCACCCCAGCCCCCGAGCCGGGCACTATTACGGACCTGTCAAAGTACATCGTCCAGTACTCGTGGGTGACGTCCGGGGTCGGTAGCTGGATCTCTGTCCATTCGGCGACAAAATCCGCGAGAACCTTAGACTTAATAATGGTACTAGGGATATACTTGATGTCGTGGCCCATGAGTTCGAGTGCCCACTTGGAGATCCGTCCCGCGGCGTCGCGGTTGCGGACGATGTCTCCGAGCGGGTATGAAGTGACGACCGCGACTTCGTGGTCCGTGAAGTAGTGCAGGAGCTTCCGGGTCGCCATCAACACGACGTATAGGAGTTTTCACACCTGGGGGTACCGGACCTTGGGGTCGGTTTGTATCTCCCCGACAAAGTATACGGGTCACTGGACCTTAAGGTGGTGTCCCGGCTCCTCCCTTTCGACGACTAAGGCGGCGCTCACCACGTGGTTGCTTGGCGCAACGTAGAGGAGGGGTTCTCCCCATTCTGATGCGACAAAGATTGGGGCCGACGTCAGTGACGCTTTAAGGCTCTCGAAAGCCTGCTGAGCTTCCTCAGTCCAAACGAAGGCGTCCGTCTTTTTGAGGAGCTTGTAGAGTGGCATCCCCTGTTCGCCGAGCCGGGAGATGAATTAGCTCAGGGCAGCCAGACAGCCGGTGAGCATTTGTACGTCCTTGACGTTGCGTATAGGGCCCATATTGGAGATGGCCGTGATTTTTTCGGGATTGGCCTCGATGCCGCGTTCGGATACGATGTACCAAGCAGCTTCCCCTTCGGAACCCCGAAAATACATTTTTCGGAATTCAATTTAATGTTGAACCTTCGGAGGTTTGCGAATGTTGCGGCCAAGTTTGCGATCAGGTCGCAAGCTTGAGCCGTTTTAATCACTATGTCATCCACATAGACGACAATGGTTGGTTTTGGCCGGTCGATCTGATCAGGTTGGTTGAGCGGGTTGATTTGATCGGCGAAGCATTGCTGCATGCACCGTTGATAGGTGGCGCCAGCGTTCTTCAGACCGAAAGGCATGGTTACGTAGCTGCACCGAGCGCGCCGGCGCAGGTGGCGGCTGGTTCTGCCGCCGTTGTCGTAGCTCCTTGCCGTGCCCTTGTGCGAGCGCGAGGGCCCCCGCACGAGGGTCCGGAGGGGTGTGAGTCTACAAGGACTCCGCTACCACCGGCGGCTGTCCCGGAGCGTCCGCCACAGCGCGTGTTCCCGGGACGGACGCTGGCTAGGTGCCACGTCGCCGATGCTGGAGCCGTTACTCTCAACCTCGTTATCCACGAGTTCGTGGAAAGAGGTGGGAGCGTAGCTTGTCATTCCCACCAATTCGGATGTGAGAGGGGGCGACGTCTGCATCTTCCGGAGCCCCCGTGCGTACGCGTCCGCGGGGGACGCGAGACCGTAGGGTAACCGGTCGAATGGCGGTTGCGGTGCGGACAACGGGGTCCCTCCGGATAATTGGCGGAAGATAGCAAATAACGAGTAAATAACAGTTTGTACGTTACTCATAGCGGGGTTTGAGCAGAGCGTATGCTCGGAACGAAGCGCAGGCGCCTCGTCGTTGAAGTCGCCGGGAGTCCCGGAGCCGACGGAGGGCGCCCATCCGACGGGCGCTGGGATGGGTGCCTCCTCGCGGAGGCGGAGCACGCCGAGCCGGTCGACGACGAAATCTAGGCTTCCGAAGAGGAAGGTCTGGGACGGCTCGAAGATGGGTGGAACCCACATCCCAACAGGTGGGAGTGCGGGAAACTACAGCAAGCCGAAGCGAGTCGTATCGCTTGAGTCCGCCATGGGAAAGATGGCGGAAAGGTGGGCCATCCGATGACCAAATGCGTGAACGTACAACGTCTTCCCCACGAACGGCGCCAACTGTCGGTGCAGAAAGTGACCAACACGTAAATATTTGTATTTTTGCCGTACGTTGTAATCGGATATGGCCTAGCACTCAATGACACAGGGTTTATTCTGGTTCAGGCAACGTGCCCTACGTCCAGTCTGAGTCAGTCGATGACTTTATTCCTATGCCCAGGTGCTCGAAGTTTGCTGTGGGGTTACAAACGAGAGGGAGAAAGATGGGGGAGCAAGAGGTCCGGTCGGACTCCGGACCGAAGGGCCGAGAGTGACGAGAGCTCCTACGTGCGCTAAGTATTCGAGCGTGTGCTCTATGTAGCTTTAGAGTGTCTAAAGCTAGCAGAGAGTGAATCGATCATTGGTTGTTCGAATCGTCTGTGTGTTCGAGTCATTCGGTCTGAGTCCTCTTTTTGGGAGAGAGGCCATCCATTTTTATAGATGAAGGGGACGGCCTTACAAGTGAGAGAGAGAGAGTACGTAAGCTACTAAGTCTTGTTGTCCACGCCGTCAGGTACAAGATGATTGTAGGCGCCCACAACACTGTTGATGTCGGATGCATGTGGGAGGTTTTAGCATATTCACCATGTATGGCAAATGACGGCACCTACAACACTGTCGATGTCTAGAGGCATGTGGGGGGATTTACCGTGTCCGCCTGATATGGGAATTGATGGCGCCCACAACACTGTTTGGGTTCTGACAGGCCTGGAAGGTTGCAGGGCACCCTTGTGACATGCCCATGTCGGTTCTGTCCTGTAGGTGTACAGGGTACGGTCCCTGGTATTGCGGTTGACTTGAGTGCCCCGTCTTACTCGCTCCACCCGTTTCCTGGGTCCTCATCGAGCGGGTGTCCCCGGTCGGTTGGTCCCAGTCGGCTCCTACTACGCCATTCGGAGAAGAGCTGTAAGCAGAGGTCTGGTGCATCCCCAGTCGGAGATGCAGGTCGGAGTCAGAAGCGAGGCCTTCCGGTCGGAGAGGCGGGTCGGAGTCGGAGGCGAGTGTTGTTCCTCCTAGGCCAGGCCTTCCGGTCGGAGAGGCGGGCCGGAGTCGAAAGCGAGCATCGTTCCTCCTTGGCCAGGCCTTCCGGTCAGAGAGGCGGGCCGGACTCGGAAGCGAGCGTCATTCCTCTTTGTCTAGGCCTTCCGGTCGGAGAGGCGAGCCAGAGTCGGAAGCGAGCGTCGTTCCTCTTTGACCAGGCCTTCCGGTCGGAGAGGCGGGCCAGAGTCGGAAGCGGCGTCGTTCCTCTTTGGCGAGCCTTCCGGTCGGGAGACCGGATCGCCTTTTGGCCTGTAGTTTTAGTTATTTTGGTCGGCCCAAGAGTTGCGCATCATTATAGCGTCGTTCACTCGGGCCAAGCTTTTCTTTGGGAAGCAGTCCATGAGGGACCCCGGTTTATAAATCCGACACTATGCAAGAGTTTTAGAAAATGAACGGTTGTATGTTCCCTTGCAAAAAATAAAATAAAATTAGTAGTTACTTAAAATATCACTTACCATTGTCTAATGGACCGCAGCATCCTTGGCCACATGAGGGAGCCAATCTAGCTTTCCCAATGGCCACCCATTTTTCCTTGCCCATCTTAGCAAATATTCTTAGCAAGGTTTTTCTAGTTCTAACAAATATCATTATTGTAACCAACAATACCAAAATGAGTGTTTCAGTAGAGATCCTGTTTACCACAGCAGATGTGCCCATAACTTGTAGATAATGTTTTGCAAGATTGATGGTTCATTGTTAAATGATGTATCTAGGAGGACTTTTATGGGATTTTGTTTTTAGAGTCGATCTATCATCGTCGTCTTCTTTTCTTCTCTTGTTGATGAAGTATTTGAGCATAATCTAAGTTCTTCAACCACAGAGAATCAGCTTCTGCCACCACATAGTTTGGCCTCTAATCATTTAAATTCTTACCAAGTTGGTGCTGAGGGGGTCAGTGGCACAGTTTGCCCACCTGAGCTGGATGGAAACTTTATGCATTCTGACATTAATTTTTCAGAAGTTAAACCTGGTGTAAGTTTGAACAGTGATCTGCTGAGTAATCTGAACCACTTTAAGTGTACAAATGCTATTTCCAGTTCAGGCACCGCCCAAATTTCATTCATGTCCTCATGCAAGTCCGGTCATGATTTTAGCTCGTTGAGATTTCCAGGAGGCCATAATATTGTGCATGGAGGTGAATCTCTTCAACCTGTTTCTTCAGATGGCCAAGGAGGTACTTTTACATTTTCTTTGTTAACTTGGGATTTTTGTCTCTCTGATATCCAAGGAGCCATCTGTCTATGCTGATATCTAATAAGCTATCGCTCTTTGTTGTGATGCTGTTTGGCAATTTGCAGTTTTGGGAAATATCACCACTATGCAATTTGGAGGGTCTTCTAGGAAACGATATCTTTCAGAGTTTTTATTGAATATCCCATCATTACAACAATCCAGAACCAGTGATGGGCCAAGAAAACGAAGAAAAGCACCGGAACATATGAAGGATGGTATTCTTTTTAAGGAATATTCGTCCAGTGCGCAATCTGAAAAAACCGTCACCTATGGAAATATATTTACAGAAGAAAATTGTTGTGTTACATCGGCCTGTTATGCCTCCTTACTTCGTCGTGTCATAAAGCACTGTTCACATTTGATCAAATATGCTCAACTCACTACCCAGATGGATTCTCTTGGCATCTCATATGCAGAAGTAGTGCTGTGGACTGGCATCTTCTAATCTTTGGTTGCGGTTACCCTTTCTTAAAGAGGATTCATGGAAACATGTATGCTTACGCCCAGGTAAAAGTGGATGTATGTGTTGGGATGTTAGGATCAACGATCCATATTATGGTTCACTCTGGAAAGTCCATGGAGGAAGTGCTACTACCAAATGGGGTATTGGTGTTCGCATAGCGAACACTTCTGAAATAGATTCACATATCACTTTTGATGACGATGGGGTCGTTTTGACTTATCACACTGTTGAGGCTGATAGTATACGCAGGCTTGTCTCAGATTTACAACGGCTTTCAAATGCACATGCATTTTCTTGTCGAATGCGGAGATTGATTGGTGTAAAAGTTGATGACAAGCGAGATGAAAAAGTGACATCTGTGGAGATAAATGCAAGAAAAGGTAGCAGACACAGGCTATCTCAACAGATGAGGAAAACTTTCAGGATTGAAGCTATTGGTTTGATGAGCTTGTGGTTCAGTTATGTTGCTGTGCCTATGGTTCACTTTGTTGTTGAGTGGAAGGCTGGTGATGGTGGCTGCTTTATTCATGTTTCTCCAGATCAACTTTGGCCACATACAAAGGTTTGTCTATGCTTAATATTATGATCCCATGTTTTCCTTTTCTCGTATGCACTTAATGTTACATGATATGTGTACATTATGCAATGGTGCATTTTGAAATTTTTATTTAGTTATTTAATATGCTTCTTTGCTTGACAGCGCTGCTAATTACTGCAGCAGTACTGTTCAGTACATGTTATGGCACTTCACTATGAACATCACATGGAAATTATAGTTGAGAATACTTAGCTTTTGGTTAGTTGAGTTTCTTTTTTTTCATAAATATTGTTTCTTAGGGGTCATGTCAAGTTCCTCCTATAGGAGGAATGCCATGTATCTGTTAAGGAAGAAACAGGTAGTATCTCCAATATTTCTCATCCCAATATATGCCATTTCCTGCTTTAAAACCTTAGTCTCTTTCAAGCCATGTTTTTGTCTGGACTTTCACTGTATTTTAGTTGCGCTGTTTGTAAACTGCTATATTATGAAAGTTTCAGTCAAGAACCAGTAGACAATGCCAAACTTTCACTTATTCACTGTGTCGAGATTGCTGGTTCATTTATAAAGAATTTCAATAAGGCTGTCTTTGTAGGTAGTAATGCACCACTGATAAGTGCTGTTTATTCTGTTACCACATCTTATTTTTAATGCATTTTACAGCATCTTACTGAATCACACCTTATTTCATTCAATTAAATTTGCGGTAAATTAATGATATAATCTAGTTTCAATTTGCGGTAAATTAAGTTGGGGACTGGCGTTGTCTGTTTTTAATCTTTATTTTTCTTTAATGAAATGCTACACTGCTCTCCCATGTATTTGAGGGAAAAAATATATAGTTGAATTCGAGTTTGAATCAATTTGGACAAACTGATGATAGGCTGACACGGGAATGATGTTACATTTCAAATCTTCTGTGTCTAGTGATGTATGGTGTTGTTCAACATTTATTTCCTTGTGTTTGGCTAGCATTTGGCAGATGAGAATAGCCTCTTACTGCTTGTTTCATCGAAATCAAAATTGCGATAATCATTGATTTAATTGTTTTTGTAATTGACTTAATTTGGATTAAATGATGTTGAATAGTCTGCTGTCTGCAACTGCAGACCAACTTTCAGTCAAGACTGCAGCCAAGCTGTGGTGAGAACACTAGTGCAGCAGCATTCCTGAGTAGTGCAACCATGGTGTAATGTAATAGAGCAGTTCAGCAGCAGCACTCCTGCTTTTGTTTGTGCTCTCACTTCTCCACTATCCCTGAAGTGTGTGTGTGTGTGTGTGTGTGTGAGGCTGAGGGGTGATGGTCCGCACCTGATTGTGGGCTAACACATGTTTTGTTGACATGATAATTATGTTATGTAGGTTTCATATTTCTATGGTTATATGTGCCGTGTGGTGTTGATCAATATGATTGCCTTGTATTTGTCAGACAAGCAGGACAGATGCATTTCACTGCTCACCAGCCATACTCAATTTATATGTTGGCCAAAATGTTGTCCACTTGTCCATAGAGAACTTGGTTTCACTAGCAGAAGCTGGCTGGCAAAAAGGAAATTTAGTTTACCACATTACCATGATGTATTGTAAATCCAGTAGCACAACCTCTAATGCTAATGTCTGTGAACTAATCTACCATGTGATTTTGTTGTTTTTATAACTGAGTTTACATAATGCAGTTTTTGGAGGATTTCGTGAATGTGGGTGAGGTAGCATCATTCTTGGACAGCGTCAGGCTTACAGCTGGACCATTACTTGCCCTTAGTAGTGCAATTCGCCCTACAAAAATGCCTGTGACACTTCCTGCTGGTTACAGTTCTGTACCAAAGCAAAATAGCTATCAGTCAGAAGGGGCAACAGCAAATGACTCATCAACTACTGCGCAAAATATATCTGCCCCACTGAGTCCTGCGGTAGCCCATTCTAACAAGTATAATCTTCAGAGTTCTGCCCTTTCTATTGCAGGGCGGGGTGGGCCTGGATTAGTTCCTAGTCCATCATTGCCTTTTGACGTTACTGTTGTGCTTCGTGGACCATATTGGATACGTGTTATATATCGCAAGATTTTCTCTTTCGACATACGTTGCTTTAGTGGAGATCAGGTATGGCTGCAGCCTGCAACCCCTCCGAATGGCGGACCTTCAATTGGGGGATCTTTACCTTGCCCACAATTTCGACCTTTCATATTGGAGCATGTTGCTCAGGGTTTAAATGCTTTTGAACCCAGTGTTATGAGTGCTAGACATAGTGGTGTACAATTGAAGGCCAGCATCAACAAAGCTTCTGGAGGTCAGCAATCAGCTCTTGCTCTGAACCACTTTCATGGTGCTCACGGTATAGCTACTTCTGGACCAACTACAAATATTGGTAACCAGGTGGCACCTACTTTCATTCGTGCAGGCAGTGCTGTTGTGAATTCTTCAAAATATGCTTCAGGAAATGCTGGAGCCCCTCCACACCCTTCTCCTGGAACAAACCTTCCTGTTCATATGAGGAGTGAGTTGAGCTCAACTTTTACTGCTCTTGGGGACTATGGTGGCTATGGTGGTGCATGGGTTCCTCTTGCTGCTCTTAAAAAGGTGTTGCGAGGCATCCTTAAGTACCTCGGAGTTCTATGGTTGTTCTCCCAGTTTCCTGAGCTTCTGAAAGAGATACTAGGGTCAGTTTTGAATGAGAATGAAGGAGCACTTTTAAATTTGGATCAGGAGCAGCCAGCACTGCGATTTTTTGTGGGGTAAGAGTCAATTTACTGATAACATATGATAGTTTCACCTTTGAGTCATACTATACATAGCTAAAATGCCCAACCTTTTCAATATGCTAGTATAAATCTCATTGGGCATACACATATTTACATGTCATGTGTACCCCATAAAAGAACAAGCATATTTGAACTAAGGGTTGAGAATGCTTAATGTTATAATGTTTTATATACTTAGCTTTTTTTGGTATTGTTTTCTTCTTTGAGGTTGTGTGATATCATCATATATTAGATGAGCATGTTTGATGGTATTTTTCTTTTGGTTAAGCACGCAGGTGATAATCTACTTTTAATGCATGCCAACCATCTACTTTTTTTTGTGTTCTCTAGTACTTCTATTACCTCCATTCTTTTGTACTTGCCTAAGGGCACATGTTGTGACATTACTTTTTATAGTTTTTTCTTAGTAAAAGTTGCTAAAATCATAGACATCTGAAACAATTCTTTATGGCTAATCCACTGATATTGTTTTCAATTTTCAAGTCCTAACTCTTCTGTGTGTATTAGTGGTCAAAGTTTTTGAGATTTGACTACACATTCTAAAGTTATTTATTATTATTTCTAACCTATTTTTAATTAATATTTAAAAATAATCTAATCATGCTTTTTTTCCATTTTTGTCCTGCAGTGGTTATGTCTTTGCAGTTAGTGTTCAACGAGTCCAACTGCTTCTTCAAGTTCTTAATGTAAAACGATTTCATCACCAGCCACAGAAACATCAGCAGCAAGCTCAGAGCCCTGCTCAGGAAGAGCTAGCAACATCAGAGATAAATAAATATGTGACTATTTCAGCAGGCGTGTCGTCTGTGAACCATATGATGCTTCTAGAGTTGCTTCTTTTATCACTTTGCTTACATTACCAATTCCTGTTATGCGAGAATTCATAAGTCTACTTGCATGGAAGAAAAGTCAGTCCCAGGTTCATGGGGAAATTGCGAGTGCATATAGGGTTCAGGTTGAACTCTGTTTGGAGATGCACCATGGATCGGTTTCAAATGACCATGCTGAGAGTTCGTCTTCATCAAAGAGCAACATTAAGCATGACAGAGCCAACCGTTCAGTCGATTTTGGCCTAACTTTTGTACTCGACCATGCTCTTAAACATAATTCCAGTGTTGGTGGAGCTGCTTGGTTGCCTTATTGCATGTCTGTGAGACTGAGGTACACCTTTGGGGACAATTGTCATGTCGCGTGCCTCACAATGGAGGGGAGCCATGGTGGGAAATCTTTCTGGTTGAAAGATGAAGACTGGGAAAATTGTAAGCAAATGGTTGCCAGGACAGTGGAGACAGCAAATGGGTCTCCCGCGATTGGAGAGACAGGCAATGGGAGATTGCGACTGGTGGCCGAGATGATCCATAAGCAACTACAACTTTCTCTCCACCAGCTAAGAGACGGTCCCCTTTCTGCGGGCTGAATAGATCTTGACTTTAGTACTTGGATGACTGCTGGTAGACGAAGAATATGCTTGCTGAAAAAAAGGAAAGGTGCTCCACAGTGGGGGTAATAACATACAAGTTGTCTGCTGTAGGCATTGCCTTATATAATATACATGTGTATGTCTGCTGAAGGCATTGCCTTATATAATATACATAGATAACGTTAACCTCTTTAGCTTACTACTGTATGCTGCTGATCACAACCATTGAACCCCACAAAGCTTGTGGAGCATGGCTGTGGCAGCATGATAGGAAAGAGGAATCCGGTACTCGGTACTACGACAAGCAAGGTAGCAAAGAGGAACCCGGACACAACTAGGCTCTGGAAGGACTACGTGTTCTAAATTGCTACTCGGTAGAACAAACCGCACTCGGCTACACTGTTTTCTTCAAAGGACGGGCGCAGTGCATCCAAGGCATAAATCAGCAGCACGGCGGGACAACATAGACCAGGGGAAGCCGGCAGACTTCTGTCTACCCAAGTCCGATGTGATGCTGGATATGGTGCTGATCTGCACCGGACAGTCTCAGGGCAGGCAACGAGGATCAACCCAGAACTAACAGATGAAGGAACATATCACACATCACAAGACTCCCTCCGACTACCGCCACGTACTTCCAAGTACAATGCTGCTGCGGGATTAGTCTACCTCTAATCCCTATCACAAGACTCCCTCCAGCTACGACAAGATGTACAAGAACTACATAATACGCCTGGGGGCTGCTCTACTTCACAAACTATCATATGCATGACTTCGGAGATTTCAGACCACGCAACAAAATGCTCGATGAATCAAAACAGCACACCAGGAGGATATTTATAGATCAAATAAGCGGTGCACATGGACCGGGAGCACCAATAGAACAAACCTGACAAAGGACACAGTGAAAAGACAGAATTCAATGAAAGAGGACTCAGACATAAAGGAACAGTACTCAAGAACGAGCATATTCGAAAAAATATACCAACACTGTACAATTCGTGAACAAACAGCATTTACTTTCAACCACCACCATACAACTACATCTGACAACAGCAGACTACCAGAGAACATGCCAAGACCCTGTACCCGAGTTATTTTCAAATAAAAGAACCTAGGTATATGCTCGGGGGCTGCAACAGGAGAGGTTTTCAGTTCTTTGAACAACTCAGATTCAAGACCCTTCAACTCTTTGTCCCAAATAGCAAGAGGCTCGGGGGCTACCCTCAATGAGTGCACTTTTTTCTTCGAAAAAGCACACATCACTCAGAAGACTTTTTCAAGACAGCAGTTTTCAAAACAACATAACATTGAAGACCCTCCAACTTTTTGTTCTAAATAGCAAGAGGCTCGGGGGCTACACTCGATGAGTGCACCTTTTCTCCGAAAAAGCGCACATCACCAAGAAGACTTCTTCAAGACAGATCACTTCAAGACCTCACGACAAAAAGAACCTGAGCCTAACTATATCCGAGCTCTTTTTGATAAAGAACCCGGGTATATGCTCAGGAACCCTCAAGAGAAGACCCTCCAGCTCCTTGTGCCAAAAAGCAAGAGACTCGGGGGCTACACCCAAATGGGAGTACTTTTTTCTTCAAAAAGGTACACATCACGCGAAGATCTTACGAAGCGCTACACGGTTTCACTCAAAAAAACACTCGGACGACGCTTGTTCCTGCTCGGCAAGACCTGAAGGAACAAGATGATGCTTCCAGAAGCTCAACCATGAAGTGCTCGGGGGCTTGTCGGTGTGGGACCCACGGGATACCCCGCAAGGAAGAGAGAAGATCTAATCTAACTAAGATTCTTTCCATGTAATCCTAGTAGTAGTATTTTTCTGTAATCCTACTAGAAACTCTCATTGTAAACCAACTAGGATTCTGACCTCCTGACTATATAAAGGAGGGCAGGGTTACTAGAGACGGGACTTTACGACACAACACTTTACAATCAATCCAACGCAAAGGCTAATACCGACTGGACGTAGGGCTATTACTCGATCAATGATCGAAGGTCCAAACCAGAATAAATCGACTGTCTCTTACGTTTACCGTCGAGTTCCGCATACGCTGAAACCCAAACAAACTGCCCCGGGTACCCCCGTGGCAGGCTATCGGTGGTGAAACATCGACACTAACCTACTAAACTCACTTAGGTCAAGCTACCCGTCCATACCCCCTTAATAGTACGGTTAAAGGAAAAACAAAGTCATAAACTACTATAAGTGTCTCTTCAACACCAAACGACACTTAGAACTAGTCCATCCTTAATCTTGTCGTCCATCATTTGAAACCAAAACGATTTCCATCGTAGGGGCATGACAACCATGATTGCCCAATCGATCTCCATTACCATGACCTAACTTAATTGCTTCTGCAAAACACACGTTAGTCATAGTAATCACATATTGTCATTAATCACCGAAACCCAACTAAGGGCCTAGATGCTTTCACTCTTTATAATTTTTTTCTATAATTTTGGTCAAACTTGAGATGTTTTAACTTTCTAATAAAGTTAAAATAACTTATAATTTGAAACGAAGTGTGTACTGTAGTAGTATATGACAGTTTAGACCATAACTTGTGAGGGTTCTCACCTCTTCTGTGCGGCTTATAGCGAAGCCTAACCTGGTGTCGCCTGGCAGCAGCTTGATCTCTAGTGCTAGCTCGCTTGCCACAGGAGTGTACCACAGGCGAACCGCCCTAAGGACACCGATGTCCACACCATGGTAGTCCTCAAATCCATAGGGACTCATGGTGGCGACGTTAACCAGGTCGTCTAGATATCTGGAGTAGGTCAAGGACAAATAAAAGCAATTTTCAATTTGCTCTCAATTCCCATCTATACTACCATGTTAAACAAACATTTATATATCAAAGTTCACCCGTAAGAGACCAGAATAAGTGGAGAAGACGAAATGCATAATGCTAGCTATACTGTGTTTTTCTAGCAAGAAGATAACCGCTCAAGTGCTTAATACGCATTGTGAATCACTGAAAACTGATGGAAACTTTAATAGCGTATTTGGATTGCGGCATCGGTTGGCTCCGGAGTCATCCGATCCAAAAACCGAACCTACCGATCTGTTTGGATTGAGGAGCGACACCGACTCGTCCCGCATCATCGTGCCCTCGCAGCAGTTCATTCTCAGGGAACCAACTCGTCCGGCCAAAAACCAGCGGACGAGGTCGTCCGGAGTGGAGCCGATCCAGACGGGTTGGGACGTCAAACCAAACACGCTGTAACATATCAGAGTTTAACTACTACTTCCATTTTTTTACATTTCATATTAGCTTTATTCTAAATCAAACATTTCTATCTTCGATCATCAATTTTAAAAATAATGTATAGATTAGCAATATAGGATTATGTTTTTAGATTTATTATAAGAAATACTCTTATAAGTAATACTCTCTCCAGGTTGATAAAAAAAAGTCGTTTGGACAGCACACGGTCTCCAAAGCATAACTTTGATTTCTTATTTCTATAAAAATATTTATTGAAAAGTGATATATATATATATATATATGTTTTTATGAAAGCATATTTCAAGATAAATCTATTCATATGGTTTCCATGTTTTCAAACTCAACACCTTAAAAGTTATTCATGATTTATATTCTCAATGTTTAACTCAAACCTTGTATAAAACGACTTCCTTTACTAACCTAGAGGGAGTATATAGTTTACATGCTGTGAAACTCCATAGGTTGTTTAAAATTAATAGTCAAATATAGAAATGTTTGACTTAGAACAAACCGACATGTAAAAAACGGAGTGAGTTCATATTCCTAAAGCTGAGATGTCTTCTTAATGATGAAATATCTTGGGGAGGCTTTCTTTAGGGGTTAATTTTAATTTTACAACAAGACACGTCGGACCAACATGTGTAAAGGTTGTCAGTGGAACATATTCAAGCAAACGGCAAACCATGCTTGGCATTTGTTTATTGGATACATTATTTTGCTCACTTGAACCGGTAGGCTAGTTAGCATACAGAAAGATCGTCACTGCCCCAGAGAGCACTGTATTCTTTTGTGGTTAAGAAAAGTTTGGTTTTCTGTCCTTCAAAGGCTTAATAATCTCCAAATACTGATGCCTTACAAAGAATATACTTTCTTCTCTAGCCATTGGTGTGAGAAGTATGAAGCGATTGGAAAAAGGGTGTCGTAAAGGTTTTAACACCTTGGTTTATCCAGCACCATGGGAAATTTAGATACACTAGGTGATTGTATTTTCTATGGTATCCCAACTGACCCAATTAAATTTTTACAAGAGGTGCTAAATGAGGGGTTCCCTATAGTTTTCAGTGTAACAGATTTTTGCTGAAACCAAAAATTGCTACAATCTTTTGAATTGTTTTATCGGTAAATATAAAAGTAAAAAAAAATCTGGAAGAGTTTCGGACAAAATTTGGTTCCTTTTATCTCATACATACCTTTATAAGCAGTGATTCAATTTACATATTTTTATGTATAAAAGCAAATACAATAATACACATCAGCTTGACTTATAGCCGAGCCACGTCAGTAAATGTTTACGTGAAAGAGAGAGAAACGTGAACACGCAAGCTGCTTGTCGCGCGAGATGCGTCGCCGAGCGCTTGCACAGTTCCCCGTGGTTTGTGGGCCCGCTACCACCTGTGTTCCCGTGCAGCCATGACCCGTCCTCGAGCAGCCGCGCGCGGTGCGCAGGCGCAGCCCGTCGCTCGTCCACCACTCACCGGCTTCATGTCCACGCCTAGCAGGCCGCCATCGCTGCAGGGTCCGCGTGCAGCTCGTCCGTGCACCGGCCGCCGTCCGCGCTTCACGCCCTCCGTCGTCGCCACGCCCGCGGCTGCCGTCCGTGGCTAGATGGAGAGAAGCTGCTGCCCCAGCAAGCATAGAGAAGCGAGGAGCAAGGTCGAGATCATAGAGAAGCGAGGAGCAAGGACGGTTGGACGGCGGCAGCGAGATTGCGATTGCGAGAGGATAACTACGATGGAACTGTGCGGTCAT